GGCCCCTTGAGTGTGGCTCTTCCTAAGCCTTAGGGGTACCCTAATTAACAACAATGCACCTATCTATATAGTTTAAGTTTAAAAAATTTGGCTCTCAAAAGAAATTTCAATCGTTGTACTGTTGATATTAGGCTCTGTTGACTAATGAGTTTGCGGACCACTGGATTAGGGTCAAGGGCACATGCCCAGGTTTCAGGCTCAATCCCCAGTAGGGGGCATGCAGGAGGCAGCCAATCAATGATTCTCTGTCATCACTGATGTTTCTTTCCCCTCCTCTCTGAAATCAATAAAATATATATAAGTATATAGTACATGTTGGTTTAAATTGTACATAGGATGAAAACTGAGAAAACAATTTTCCTTCCAATATTCAAAACCTAGGGTTCCATATTGCAAATAAGTCACTTGAATCAATGAAAAATAAGTGGAAATTCCAACATGTGCCTTAGATTGTGCAGTCCTACTGGTTAAAATAATAAATTCATTCAAAAATTGGTACAGCATTCTGAGCAGACATTTTACCGAAGGAGATAAAGAGAGTGGAAATCAATGTACGAAGAAATGCTCACCATCAACAATTCTTAGGCACATGGAATTAGAACGAAAGCGAATTCACACTATACTCACTTATGGGGCTAGCGTTTAAAAAAGTCAACCACTGCATGTGTTGGCAGCATTATAGAAAAACTGGGATTTTTTTAAAATATATTTTTATTGATTTCAGAGAGGAATGGAGAGGGAGAGAGAGATAGAAACATCAATGATGAGAGAGAATCATGGATCGCCTGCCTCGTGCACGCCGTCCCCCCCCCACCCGGGGACCGAGCCCACAACCAGTGCATGTGCCCTTGACCGGAATCGAACCCGAGACCTTTCAGTCTGCAGGCCGACACTCTATCCACTGAGCTGAACCAGCCAGAGCAAAACCTGGAATTTTTATATGCTATCAGTGGGTGGGAAGGCAAAAGCAATGACCATTTTGGGTCACGTTTCTGCATATCTTAAGATGTAAAACATGCACCTACACAACATGTATCTATATAAAGAACTGAACACAAATATTCCCAGATTTATTTATAATACCCCAAACCTGGAAATAACCGAAATCTCAGATCAATAGACACAGTGGTTATCTATAGAACATACTACTACTCAGCAATAAAAAAAAAATTTAAAGAATTATTCACATAAGCATTTGTGTTGAGTCTCAAAATAACTGTGTAGAAAGAAGGAAACCAATATTTGTTATAGAGTACACACCTTCGCACTGGCCGGCTTGGCTCAGTGGTTAGTGTCGGGCCATGGACAGAAAGGTCACGGGTTCCATTCCAGGTCACAGGCATGTACCTCAGTTGCAGATTCGATCATCAGCCCTAGTCGAGGTGCATGCAGGAGGCAACCAATCGATGTGTTTCTCTCACATTGATGTTTCTCTCCATCTCTCACTGCCCGTCACCCTATCTCTAAAAATCAATGGAGGAATATCTTCGGGTGAGGATTTAAAAAATAACATTCACATAAGCATTTGTGTTGAGTCTCAAAATAACTGTGTAGCAAGAAGGAAACCAATATTTGTTAGAGTACACACCTTCGCACTGGCCGGCTTGGCTCAGTGGTTAGTGTCGGCCCATGGACAGAAAGGTCACGGGTTTCATTCCAGGTCACAGGCATGTACCTCAGTTGCAGATTCTATCACCAGCCCTAGTCGAGGTGCATGCAGGAGGCAACCAATCAATGTGTTTCTCTCACATTGATGTTTCTCTCCAACTCTCACTGTCCCTCACCCTTTCTCTAAAAATCAATGGAGGAATATCTTCAGGTGAGGATTAAAAAAATAACTGCACTTGTTGCATGTCAGTTCTCATTTCCTGGGAGGACCAGCCTTGCCTCAGTGTCAGCAAAATGTTGTGAAGCAGTGAAGACTATTGCCATCGGAATCAACAGGAATGCTGACTGGTTAGGAAAGACACATCCTGGGACTGATTACAGCATTATCCTTCCTCTAGCTTTGAGGTCTTGCCTGTTGAGCAAACCGTGAGGTGAACACCGTAGAGGGGCCGGCGGAATCCGAAAAGCCATTAGATAATTTCCTCTGCCAATGATTTCGGCCACAGGAAACAGGATGGAGGTCCTGAGAACATCCGTACACGAAGATCACACAAGACCTTTGGTCATCTGTGGAAAACATTCAGAAGAGGCACTTTCCTTTTTCTTTTAAATATGTTTTTTGTTGATTTCAGCGAGGAAGGGAGAGGGAGAGATTTAATCAATGATGAGAGAGAATCATTGATTGGCTGCCTCCTACATGCCTCATCATTGATGTTTCTATCTCTCCCTTCCTCTTTGAAATCAATCCTATCCTATACAATAAAAGGGTATATGCAAATCGACCAGAGTAAGGACTGGTTGCTATGACGCGCACTAACCACCAGGGGGCAGATGCTCAGCGCAGGAGTTGCCCCCTGGTGGTCAGTGTGCTCTCACAAGCCAGGCTGATGACTGGCCAGTGCAGTGGCCTGTCTCCGCGGCAGTGCTAAAGATGTCCAACTGCAGCTTAGGCCCCTCCCCGGAGCTGGAATGTTGTGCAGCAGGCCTCTAGTAAAAATATATTTTAGAAAATAGTGATTCCCACTAAAGACCTAGCTATTCCTCTTTTCTTAGAAAATTAGGTTGGCAAGCCTATATAAACTCTACCATCTCTCTCCTCAAGACCTGAGAGGGGCAGCCTGGCCTCAGTGGCAGCAAATATTGACAAGCAATGAGGACTACTGCCACCAAAATCAACAGGAATGCTGCCTGTCTACAGGATCATCCGTCTTTCTAGCTTTGTTTTCTTGCCTGTAGAGCAAGAGCCTTGAGGTGAACATGCCAGGGAGGCGGGGCAAATAACAAAATCTGCCAATGACCTCGGCTACAGGAAACAGTTGGGGAGGTCCTGAGAATGCGGTGCCCACAGATTACAGAAGCCACAGGCCCTAGAACATTTGCGGATGAACGTTCAGAAGTGGCACCTTCCATCTAATTTACTGTAATGCCTTCTACCCAATATCCAGTGGAATCTCAGTTGTCGACTTAATTCATTCCAGAAAGCTTGTTTTTTAATATTATTTTTATTGATTTCAGAGAGGAAGGGAGAGGGAGAGCTAGAAACATCAATGAGAGAGAATCATTGATCGGCTGCCTCCTGCACGCCCACTACTGGGGATCGAACCCGCAACTTGAGTATGTGCCCTTGACTGGAATTGAACCCGGGACCATTCAGTCTGCAGGCTGACACTCTATCCACTGAGCCAAACTGGCTAGGGCCAGAAAGCATTTTGAGAAGTGATTTGTTTGAACACGGATTCATTTCCCCCCATTAAAAATACTGTAAATTTAAATAATCTGTTCCAGGCCCCTAAATGATTCCGTTTTAACACATCTTATATTCAGTACATGTCTACTGTACTATCCTATATAATAAAAGTGTAATATGCAAATCGACCAAATGGCCAAACAGCAGAACAACCATCCGGGTGACCATCTGGGACCAGGCTATGACACCTTCTGGCACCAGGCCAGCCAAGGTGAGTGTGATGCGATTGGTCGGGGGCCTGGCCATTACCCTATGATCACCCCGCAGAGGGAGGCCCAGGCCACCGGCTGGCAGAACAATCAATTGGGGGGCTCCATGATTGCCCCAAAGAGGGAGGCCCAGGCCACTGACAGGTGGACTGCAGCAGGTGGGTAGGGCTTCCCTCTGCAAGGGAAGCCCAGGTCCTGGGTGTCGGCAGCCAGAGGGAAGCCTGGGTCCCGGGTGCTAGAGGGAAGCCGGTGCCGGCAGCCAGGGAAATTTCGTGCATCGGGCCTCTAGTTTAATCTATAAACAAACACCTTTTCTTAAATTTATCAAACCACCCCCTACTGGCCTTACAGGAATCACTTACTAGAACAGCACTCCTCCCGAGGGCGAAGCAGCTTCCTTTTTCACGTGTCACTGCCGCAGAAATGCAGCCACCTGCTCTCTTCTTCTCGTTTATCCAAATCACAACAGTTTTTCTACCTCTTCAGCAGCCTGTGATCACTGCTTTGTGAGCACTCCACACCCTT